GGCAGGTCGGGCGGCAGGCTTTGAAAAGCGGCCGGAGAGGGAGAACCTCCGTCTCGTTTCCCGGCAGCTTGCTGTCCACCGTGACCGGGTGGAGGCTTGTTTGCCGCGCGTGGGTTGGTTGCTCCGCAGAGCCCGGGTCAGCTTGTACTCCACAGGCGCTGCTTACTTGCGGTGTTCGTCTTGGACGTGTTGTCTGACGGCCGCACTGAAAATCTTGCTCTGTTGAGGGCTGCAGGCTCAATTTCTTGTAACTTTGTACTCATTTCTTTTTGATCGTGACTTCTCTGCTTTGAAGTTTCACCAAGCTGGAAATGTATCAGTTTACTGATCATCAGTTGCTGATGTTTAAAATGATATCTAATAACTCCCATTATTAGTTCACTCTTCCTAAACCTGTATTTGGGTGCTAGCTATTCTAGAGATTTGCTTGGGCAGACAGAACCTGGATTCAGATGTCAGTGAGTAGAGTGTTCACGGCTTGAGTACAGGGTTTCTCCTCACTATACTTGGTGATTGCGAGTATCCCCACTCTGTATGCTAGCAATTACATGACACTGGTTTTGAGATAGAAGATAGGATAGCAGAGTCAGTGTGGTGCCACATCTGATGTAGTCAGCCATGCTTCTCTCATGTGTTGATTGACCCAGGATAAGAGCTGTGAGGGTGAAGCTCTCTTGCTTCTGGAGATAGCTAGGACTAATCTGATCATGTATTGCTATCTGCTGCTTTCAAGTCTTCCTGTACAGCAAAGACCAGACCTCTGGAGTAAAGAAGTGTGGGGAAAAAAAGACAAGAGCCCAAGTATGTTTTTTCAGATACTCGTGTAGTACTCTTCTACCTTCCAGTAGAGAGTCAGAGAGGTTGTCATCTGTGCAAGTTAAAGACTACCTGGGGGAAATGGTGACAGCAGTGGGGGACAACATCTATGTGTAACAGTTATGCTGTCCCCATTGACACTGCAATGTTCCCTTTATCTGTCCCCTGCTGGGATTGGGAAGCAAAATGGGAATGGTGCTGGATTTTCAGAAAGAAGCACTATTAGAATGATTTCTTATTTGCAACTAAGATACTTTATTCTAAAAGGAGTAGAGTTTGTGGAAAAAATACAAATTCTTACAAATAAATACAAACCCAGACAGAACTAGTCTTGTATAAACAATGAAAACCAAGGGTAAAACCATATTGTATGCCGGGCAGCCAGTGCGGTTGTTCCCCTTCCACACTTGTGCTGCTCCTTCATCCTATACATCCACTTTCTGCTTGTTGCATTCATTTACTGCACCAAAATTTAAGTTAGTCTCTGGCACTGCAATTGAATGATTCAGGTATCTTCTTCTCATCAATGTCAAGAAAGCTGCTGGTGACTAGGAGCGTTTTTCCCTTATGTGAGGATCTAGGTAGTAGTTTTCTAGGAAGAGAAGTGGTGTAATATAGCTGAAGGTGCTTCCTCAAAGCTTCTGGCATGTGGGACGCTGGAGAGCAGATGAAACTTCTTTCTTGAGTGCTGCTGCAGCAGAGCAATTGCTTGATGCTTAAATGTTTCAGCCTTAGGCATTTTAAATGGAGAGTACAAACTGTCTTTTGAGAAAGAGATGGTGGTTGTACTGTGATGGCACAGCTAGCCAAACTCGTTCAGATAAGGAATTACTCGTGGTTCTTAAGTGCTTGCAAGAAAGAGTAAACTTTCTTATTCTATCATATATATATATACATATCTCATATTTTATGGCACTGCTTACTTGTTTCTCTCCATTCTGTCACATTTTCTGTCTAATAATTGTGGAATATCAATGAATAATATATTGGAATTGTATCACTACCACAGTTCTGAATGTGTATAATACTACCTTACGCCAGGATGATGCAGTGTTAACATTCTCATTGGGCCCGCGGTTAAGTCTTACATGCCACTGGTTGCCGCCCTGCTGTGACAGCTCCCGGCTGGTGCCGCTCACTGATTGCCGCCCCTCACCCACTCCAGCCACAGGGAAAGGCCGTGTTCCCCACCTCTCCACTGAAGTAGCAATGCAGCCCTGAGCTCAGTCAAGCGTTCGAAGTCATAGGTTTCCTCTGCTAATGTTAATTATTAAAACTTTCTTTTTAATGGATTGGAGGGGTGACTAGCAGTGCCCAAATGGTGGGACTTACTAATTAAGTTCCTTTGCCAGTTAAAAAGAAACAGATAAGAGGCGAAGGCTTCAACAAATAGTTATTATAATGGAACTGTGGCGAATAAATGTACTTCTAGGATAGACAATTTGCAGTTGACAGTAAAATCAACAAAACCTTAATCAGAGATGGTGCTGTTCCACAGAAACACCTCTTATCTCTCAGGTTGCTTCTTAGTTTAACTATGAAGAACATGCACATGAATCCCATAAAACACACATTTCAACGTCAGAGCACAGAGATTTTAAGAACTAAAGAAAACGGTGTCTTTCAGAGATTACAAGTAAGAGATTACTTGAGAAGATTCATTTTAGATTTTAGCAAGGTGGATGGAAATGTATAGATCAGAAAAGAAGAAATGTGAATTAACTCAAATTTTGTTTTTCTAGAATCTTGTTGATTATGTTTTAGTACTTATTCACAGCTATTGTTCCCATGGATGCTGGATAATAACTGTATCAGACATATGGCCTATGCAGAAGACCTTCCACTTAAAGGTCAAAATCTTGACTCCGCGTAGCTGGGACACTAGGGAATGATAATCTGCCTTCCCTCTTCAGTGAGGAATGTCTGTATAATTGTTCAAACAGACTGCTGCAGTGGAATTCCTTAACTTTTTTTGCATCATGTTGTAATAGAGAGAAGAATAGGGAGCACAGAGAGCCAAATTCAGTCACAGTGAAGGAAAGTAAAGTATTAATGGTAATCGGAAGGACTCAAAAAGGACTGACTGGCTCAGCCTCCTGATCTGTTCCTGTGTTTTGCATCTTTTAGTGAAAGAGGTTGGTGCACTGCTCCTTAGCATCTAATTTTATCTTGTGTAGTTCAGCTGAAGGGGTTGGGTTGTATATTAATTAAGGGTTGTGTATTAATTAAAGAAACTGTGCCAGAATATGAAGGCTCTGAAAGAAAGAATAGAAGAGGCAGTTGGAAATGCAAAAATGCAGAACAGGAGGAAGTGAACTAAGAAACTAGGGAAATAGGATTTTTGCGCCATAGTTTAGAAAGAACTAAGATGGTGGCATCTGATCTACTGTTGGTTCATTGTCATAAACTATGTGAGAGAATAGAAGTTACCAGATAGTCTGAATCACTGACAGTGCAGAAACATATTTTTCTTTTTAGGTAGGTTTGAAAAGCAGAAGAGGAATTTTGGATGGTTTAAGACTCCTGATGAGTTTGCTGTAAAATGACAAGGATGGTATCTACAGAGAACTGCACCAGGATAGTGATTGATTTGGGGAGGTTCGAGAGATGAAGCAAGTCTTTCACTGCCCACTGCATTTGCTAGAAGATGCAGTAGGACAGAAAACTGATTGAAAGTTTGGGTTGATAATTTATACCATGTTAATGTTATCTTTGTTTGCATGTGCTTGGGGGTGGGTTAGGAGGCATTTCTCTCGGACAAAAAAATGGATTGCCTGTTCTTTTTTGTCTATGCTTATCAGTTACTGATAACTGTGTGTCAGTTACTGATAATAATACCTCTGTGACTTACTAGGAAGCTGCCTTTGGTAAGGTCGATAACTTACATTGGGTATTTCCTGAGTTCATTGGAAAGAG